GATAAATTGATCCATATCAGAATGGCAGGAAGTTTCAAGTGGAGTCCATAAACTTCTGTTTTGGGATCAGTGCTGTTCAGCATTTTATTAATGATTTGGATGCTGAAACTGAAAAATTTTAAAGCGATTTTGCAAACGACACAAAACCAGGAAGACTTGCGAATAGGTTGCTGGACAGAAGCATGATTCAGAAGGTTTTTGACAGATTGGGCAGCAAAGCTTGGGCTAATAGAATGAAGCTCAGTGTTGACAAATGCAAGGTACTACACCTTGGGAAAAATAATATAAATATACAAATACAAATACAAAGTGGTTGACACCTGGCTGAATGGTAACATTGAATGGAGGCTTAGTAGATCACAGACTCAGTATGAGTCTGCAGTGTGATGCAGCTGCGTCAAAAGTGAATGCAGTTTTGGGTACAGAAATATGGAAGTACTAGGTATAATTGTAGAATAGAAGTTTTATGTGCAAGACATAGGAGGTGATAGTGCCCCTCTACTTAGCACTGGTTAGGCCTCATCTAGAGTACTAAGTACAGTTTGCAGCTTCACATTTTAACAAGAGAAGTAAAGAAACTTCAGAAATGGGAAACAAGATAAAGGGCTTGAAAGGCAGGTCACATGCAGAGCAGCTGAAGGAAATGTTCAGCTTACAGAAAAGAAACTTAAGATGAGACATGATAGCAGTCTTCAAGTACCTGAAGGGCTGCTAGAAGGAAGAGGGAGAACACTTTTCCACTCTTGCTATAGAGAGTAGGACATAAAGTTGCAGCAAAGTAGGCTGCATTGCAGATACCTTAGAGCACTTTGTGAGTTTAGCTCCCTTCAGGCAAGAGAGAAAGAGAGAGAGAGAATTTAGTCTCTTTGAGGCCAAAGGGCCTAGAAGGAGGTCCAGAGCCCAGACTGTGGGGCTTAAAGCTGCAGCCACACAGCTGCTGTTGAGAAGCCAAGGCCAGAATAAGTGGTCCTATGGCTAAAGCTGGCCACCAAAGTAAGTAGGATCAGACCAAGAGGGTTGGAGTATACACAGATTCACATAGTGGAGCCAGGTGACCTAAAGGAAAAAACCACTCTAAGGCTGGGACACCTCCCATATAATTGGCTATTCCATCAAGACATGGCAGGAAAGACACAGGACGGCAGTTCAGAAAAGTTCAGGTGGGGGCAGGCTAGCTGGCTTCTGGGTGTTGCTCCTGCCCAGGAAGGCTAGTTCTGTCACAACAGGCATTGGTCAGGGATGATCTAGTTGTATCTATGCCTATTTATTCCCCATGCTTCTACTGTTTGCTGGTTGCTACATGAGGGTAGGAGATACTTTTTCCCCCTCCTGCTACTACATGTGTTAAGATTTTTTTAAGCCCCTCTGCAGAAGCATTGGGTGCTGGGTGCAGCCAAGGCTTGGGATTTTCCCTGGGGTGTGCCAGTAATCCTGTTGGGACTTAAATCCAGAGGTTCCTAGATAAAGATTCTTGTTCCTCTTCTTGGGGTCAGGCTGATCACCGTACTTAGGGTTAGGAAGGAATTTTACCGTATGGTCATATTGGTATAGATTTTTTACCTTCCTCTGTAGCGGGTTTTTGCCTTTCTCTGTAGTGAGGGGCATGGTCCTCTTCTTTGGGTCTCTTAGATTTCAAAGATTTCATAGATTTCATAGACATTTGGGCTGGAAGGGACCCCAGAGGATCATCAAGTCCAGGCCCCTGCCCCAGGGTCAGAAAGTCAGCAGGGATCATAGGATCCCAGCAAAATAAGCATCCAAACGTGTCTTGAAGGTGTTCAAAGTGTGTGCTCGAACCGCCTCCGGTGGCAGTCTGTTCCAAACCTTGGGGGCTCGGACAGTGAAGAAGTTCTTTCTTATGTCCAGCCTGAATCAGTCACAGTGGAGTTTGTGACTGTTCGGTCTTGTTATCCCTTGGGGCGCTCTGGTGAACAGACGTTCCCCCAGATCCTGATGAGCACCCCTGATAAACTTATAGGTGTCCATCAGATCATCCCTGAGCCTGCGCTTTTCCAGGCTGAATACCCCCGTTGCTCTCAGCCTGTCATCATAAGGTCTGTTTTCCTGACCTCTGATCGTGCAGATGGCTCTCCTCTGCACCCTCTCGAGCTTCTCCACATCCTTTTTGAATTGTGGAGCCCAAAACTGGATGCAGTACTCTAGCTGTGGCCTCACCAAGGTCGAGTACAGCAGGAGAATGACATCCCCGGATCTGCCTGAGAAGCCTCTATGGATGCAAGTCAGCGTTTTGCTCGCTTTACTAGCCACAGCATCACACTGAAGGCTCATGTTCATCTTGTGGTCAACCATGACCCCCAAGTCCCTTTCATCTGTAGTGCTAACCAGCATAGCATATTTTAGCATATTTTAACAGCCATAGCAGCAGCAGCAATTCTTTAACTGTGTTATGTCTTGTGTTGTGTCAGGATTGACTGCATAGTTTTGCTAAGAGGTTAGATAATGAATTTGTCTGGGATTTTATGGCTGGTGGTGGATTATCCCGACTTGGGTAAGTGGTTGGACAGGATGGCCTCTGGAGTTCCCTTCCACATCTACGTCTCTATAATTCTATGACTAACTCAGGACTCCCAGTCTAACATGAATGCCATAACCACTAGGCCATGTAGACATGCTCACTTTCTCTGACTAAATGAATATTTAATTATTCGACATAAAAACTAACAGAACCTTCCCACAATAGCTTGTAACCTAGTAATTAGGACCTCATTAGAAAATGAAAAATGCAGGTTCAGTTATCCTAAAGTACAGGAGGAAATTGATCTCTTATTTTCTACATTTTCATTAAGTTCAGAACCGTTAAAGAAATGGGGAACCCCATTAACCATACTTTGTTCAGAAGCTAATCTATAAATTATGTTCTAAGAGTGCTTATCATATGAAAAATCTCATGAAATACAGGCAGAAAATGACCTATATTATAGAGTTTAGGTTTGCTTAGCTGTTCAGATATATTCAGACTAAAGTACTTCTGTGTACCTGTTGAAAATGAATGTTAAAAATGTGCCTCCAGGGGAAGTAGCAAAGATTTTGAAGATGTAGGTTTGGGACATAAGCACCTAAAAGGAAGGTAGGCAGGACACAGGCATCTTTTTTGTAGCTTTAGCACTGAGTATATTCATCTTTTCACAATGCCAGTGAGAATAGTGAGAATTCAGCAGCTCTCAGGAAGAACTCAAGGAATTACAGGAATTTAAGAGGAAGAAAAACCTAAATTATGTGCTAATGAGACACTGAGAACCTCTCTAGATGTACAGGTAAAGGTGTGATGGGATTTGATGTGATGCACAATCCATTCAATTTTGCTTCCTGCTATGCCATATATTCATGGCAGGAATGTGTGGCACATCAGATCCCATCACTCCCTTTTGCTAGTGCTGGAGGAACCTGAAATCATAGTCCTGGGCTCCCTTTCCCCAGCAAGTAGCAAGCTCCCACAGCTGGGACCCCCATCAGCTGATGTGGGTTGACTACCACCTGATTCATCAGCTGGAGACTCACAGGCTCGGGGGCATATGTGAGTCCCCTGTCTGGCAGCCAGTCAGCTAACAGGGTTCACAGCCACATGAGCCCATAGTCACTTGTTCAATTAATGCTGTGACAGAAAGGAGACACAAAGTTATTCCACATATTTTGTAGAATAATTTTGTGGCTTATTCCTCCTTTTTCATGCCATTAATTGATTAAACATGTAGCTGGGTAACAAATTATGACATGATTAACTGGTTAATCACATCATAAGTGTAACGTGGCAGGGGCTTGATATAGCTAAGTACAATTGCAGCAGGATTGGGCTTTCATTCTATGAATCAGATGCACAATGTAGCAAATGAGAAGCTACAGAAGGAACAGGCAAAACACAAACAGCACAAGCACAATTGAGGATGACAAGTGGCTTAATGTGACTTTTTAGTATTTCTTTTTATGTATTACTCAGAAGAGTTTGCTGTCAGACCATTTATTTCAAATGTAAATAACAAGTACATTCAAATAAATATCATATCCTAAGGAAGTAAATTTGCTTTTAAATAGAGGTTAGCCAGAGATATCCACTGTTTGTGTGAAAAAATATTACTAGAAAGGAACTTCCACATATCAGTTAATGTTTACTAATGCTCTAAACATCTGAAAATATTATTTTTCCTGTTTGGAAAAAGAAGTATTCTTCCACTGAATTGATGCTATAATTATAACTTAACACATGCAAAATCCAGGAATGATTCTTTCGAAAAAAACCTGTTTCCAGAAAAAATAACTTTTGTAATAAAGACTCTTGTTTGAAAGCACCCACTGTTTCAGGACTAAACTTTTCCATCAGTTCCATAACACTGGTTACAGATAACCAGCTTCAAAGCACTGATATAGAATTGTTGACTTCTCTGATGTTTCTGTGGTCCAGATCAGCACAACAATGTTGTAAAACATTTCAAACAAGTCTTCAGAAGACGGGGTGTTTCTACTGAAACAGGATATGAATAGCTTCAAAATCATTTTTATTTTTCCTTACTCAGATTGCAAAAAAATCTGAACAGGTCAAAGCCCTGAATGAATGTAACAGTCCATTTGGATGCTAAATATGCTTAAGTCAATAGCACATAAAGGAGCAATGTGGCTAGCATCAGATTCAGCTGGCTTTGACTTCTAAGCCTGAATAACTAGGTATTTATTTACAGGTGGGTCAAATAAGGGCAACCTTCAGCAAAAGTCCAGAAAGGAACCTTAAAATCACAGTGCCATCCCTTGTACTGGTAATAGTATGACTCCAAATGTATTTATACAGGGTGCCTACAGCCATTAACTGTACTCGGTCTATGTTCACACAGATTATTTTAAGTTGCCTAAACATCAATCATCAACTGGCATTCGACAATCCTACAAACCATGCAAGGAACCCATGTAAATAATTTGGAGTTTGGGAGGGGCAGGTGGGAATAGGAGAGTTAAGCACCAGAACATAGGCAGTCTTTCCTGGGAGCAGTTACCTGAAGTACAGATGTACCCCCAACTGGTTTCCCAGGGAGCTGGTTTCCCAGGGATCCCAATGTGGTCTGCTGTCAGAACTGGATTCAGAAGCTATTGATAAAGTCAGACAAGTTGGGGTCAGAAGGTAAAGCCAGAGACAAGGTAACTCAAGAGTTAACCAGGATCAGAAGACAGAATCAAAGGTCAAATCAGAATCACAAGCAGAGCACCAGAATCACGAAATGCCTGGAGTCTTATTAGAGTCTGAAGCTGAAGTTAGAACAGAGTCAAACCAGAAGATCAGCAAGGAAGCACATAGAGAGTCTGCAACAAGAACTGTTGCTTTTGCCCAGATAAAGAGAGTGTGGGTGGGTCTGGCTTTTTAAGGTTCAAGTTGGTGGGGCCTGCTACCTGTGGCTTGCCTGCTCTGATTGCCTCCCTCAGTCCAGCTGGGACCAGGACACTGCTCTGGGATTGCTGCAGGTGATGCTTGTTCTGGACATGACTTGCCCTGATCTGTTGATTGGGACTGGCCGAGTCTAGATTCTGGCCTGGCCTCATTACAGGGTGGGGTGGGGTGGGGGAGAGGTTAGCAGGTCCAAATGGGGGGGTTGGCAGGGCTGGGAAGGCTGGTGGGTCCATGGGGGTTGTGGCAGAGCACCTTTGGTGCCTGCCACTTTAAGGGCTGAAAGCAGTTGGCAGATGTAGGCCAGCCCTGATGTGGCAGTTGCAGGACCTCAGAAGAGCCCTGTGATTAGAGTAGAGAACTGAGCGGCCTGCATTTTAGCTCAGGCCTTCAGGGCTAAGACAGCAGTTTGCTGGCAGGTAAGGGCAGGAGCTATGGGTATGACAGGAGGCTCCTGGTCCTGGGTATGACCAAAAACTGCACCCTGCTGGGGAAGGATGGCTTGGTGAGACTGCCTGTGGTGGGCAGTGCTCCAGAAATGCCAGGCCAGTTTCCTCCCCAGTGAAAGGCAGGTAGGGGTGCCTTATAACCCCAGCCCACACATCCTGGTGGGTCACCCAGATCTAAAGACAGGCATAGGGGCCAGGTACCTCTGCAGACACCTGAGCCCTGTGGGATGTAAGACCCCAGAGGCCCCAGTGAGGGGGAGCAGAGAGATAGAGTGGCCCAAGTGAGTGTGGGGGCGGAAGTCTGTATGGTAGCCCCCAGAGAGAAGAGTGCACCGTTGCAGCCTGAAGGACTGTGTGTTGGGGTATAGAGTAGGGTTGCAAGGGAGACCTGAAAGGCTGCACCGGGGATGTACTGAGTAGGACTGTAGAGGCAGCCTGAAGGGCACCACATGGGCCAACCCCCATAAGAATATGAACTTGTAAAGTTGCTTGGAGAGGGATTAGGGGCAGAGTCAGCCCAGTGAGAGGCACAAAGCCAGTGCCACATAGAGTAAGGTTGCTCAAATGACCCAAAGGGCTGTGTGTGGACTGGCCAGATAAGCCTGATGGCCCAAAGAGGCTGCTCATGGAGCAGGGTGGGTTGAAAGTGGCCCAGTGAGGGGAAGTGTAAAAGAGGCCCTGTGAGAAGGGGCATATGAAAGAGGCCCTGTGAGAAAGGGTGGTATGAAAGAGACCCTGTGAAAGGCAGAGTATGTGAGATGAATATTAGGGGCCCTACAAGGGGTAGAGTTTGACCCAGCCACGTGGCAAAGCTGTTACCAACTTATGATGCCATCTGAGACGCATGGGACATGGTAAGAGAAAGTTAGAGCCATGTGTAATGCCCTTAGCATCAGGATACTAAATGGGCAGCCTCCCACACCTTACATTCATTTTATTAACCAGAAAGTCATGGCAGGCCCTAGACAGAGGGGCAGGCTGCTGTTAAGATCTGGTCCTGACTTAGCCCCCTGTCACAGGAGGGTTGGTGGGTCTTTGGGGAAAGGGGTCTGGGGCTAAAGATATCCCCATCAGTGTCGAAAAGCTCAGCCCCAGAACTGGGAGGAGTGGCTGGGTTTTCCCAGCCCCAGAGATGCACCGCAAACATGTGCAGGTGTTCATGAGATTAGTGTCAGGATATCACAGGATATGGACGTGGGGCCCTGTGTCCTGATGACATCCACTTGCCTTACTTGTACCAGGGCGGGTGTCAGTCAGCAAAACTCAGTCCGACTTCTTCTCCACTATCCTTTCTGCCACAACTTTGATGATTTGATTAAATTTGGGAGGACGGTGGTTTCCTGACCCAAAGCCGACTGCTACTTATTCAGATGGAAGGTATGGCCAGATACAAAAAAAAGGAAAAAGAAAACTAAAGAAAACTCAAAAATCCTGACCGTGTCCTCTCATTCTCCTTCTCTCTTTCCCTCTGCCCACAGTTCAGGATCTCAGGGGCTCCTCTCCTTCCCTGTTCACCTTCTGGGGCTCTCAGTTGTGACTCCAGCAATCAAGCAATTTTTTTTTCATCTGCTCCCCACTAATTGCTGTTCCACTGACTTAACTGAGCACCAGCCTCAATCAATTAACATGGAGCTGGGGTTTCCTCTCTCTGACTCTCTCTTTTTTTTTTTCTCTGAGCTCCTCCAAGCTTTGAAGACCCAATAGGTCTGTTGCCCCATTCCCGGGGACTTCAGTCCTGCCCAGCAGGTGTGGTTTCCTCTCACTACCAACCCCTCTTCCTCTCTTTTACTTCTTTTCTTGTTGCTGGCTCCCAGCAGCGTAATTAAACTAATTTGGTTCACCCAAGGAGCTGATAAGGCTCCGCTGGAGTGGATTGGGAGAACCCTCTGGAGCCAGGCCAGGTTGCAATGGCTGAATAGATCTCTTCAGTTGGGGCCCTCCTCAAAGCAGGTACCCCTGACCTTTCCACAATTAAGTTAACTGTTTCTTAGACTGGGTTAACCCAATCTCAGTCTAAGTTAGTGCACCTCATTAGATGAAATAACTTCATAGTTTCATAGTTTCATAGATTGAGGGTCGGAAGGGACCTAGTAGATCTTCTAGCCCGACCCCCCGCCAGGGCGGGAGAACAACAAAACCCCAAAACTTAGATCAGGTGAGCCATTTTGGGGAGGTTTAAGACTTCTAAATGACTACATGATTGGGCATTTAGACTGACCTAATGTCTGTATGTACCCTCAGTGAATGAAAGCTGGCAACAAAACACACTGAACCAAATGCATGGTTTAAGACTGATCTAGATATAGGACTGATATTGTTCATTTATTAAATTACTACAGGTTTGGGAAACCATTTCCAGAGATTCACAGTGTGGCTGATATGAATGATTTGGTCAGAGGCAGAGATATATCCCTCAGATTGATTTCCATTGCCTTGCCCATCCCAGAGATTGATAGGCAAAGAATACTAATTACACAGCCATATATATGCACACACATCACACATAATCATTCCTATCTAGCAGTAGCTATCAGTTTTAGCATTTTTTCTCAGATACCATTAAGTGGTCCATGTGTGCAAAATATTTTTCAAGTTGACTTGTTTCTCAACAGACATAACCACGCCTATGCTTCCTGACATAAATACATATGTTTTCTCAGCTATGCAGTGTTCTAAAAGAATACAAATAAGGCAATGTCCTTGCAGTGTGCAGTTTCTTCACTCTACACTTTAATTATGCAGGGTTCATGTTTCCCTCTTCTATCCAGTAAATCATGTTCTTTATTCATAAATTAGTGGCACCAATTAATAGTATTAAATTACACCTCATTGTTTGTAACAAAAATTCCCTGCAAAATGCTCATATGCAGTAATATAATTAGTATTAGTATTCAAACCTTGGCACAGGCTACAACCTCCAGCAGGTCTTACGTATCAGCATTACCTTATACTTGGTAGGAGCCATCAGTGAGACACAAGATGTCTCTGTCCAGTTTTTTGAAGCCTGATTTCAGAAGAGATAAGTCATCAGTTCAGGTACTTCGTTTGTAAATTGAAAAAATTTAACAAGCAGATTTGAATATTTCTATTTATGTTTTTACAAACAAAAATAAGAAAGACATTTCATAAAAGCTAATCTACAAGGAATTTAGTGGTGTATTGCCTTCTGCATGTAATGGGTCTATAGAATGGTTGGTATACAGTAAAACTAACATGCTATATAGTTTTATAACCTATACAGAATATAACCCATTAATAAGAAATGATTAATAATTCTCTTATTGTTTAGGGTCACCTTCTGATAGTGCTTCTGTTATAAACAAAGAGGGGAAAAGTAGATGAGGAGCTGATTGTTTTAGTGGATACATAATTGTTCATTAATTAACATTCTGCCCTGAGTCCTGGCAGATTTTTTCTTCTCTCTATTCCTACACAGTAACACTATTTTCCATTTCTTGTGCCCATTCCTGTTGTTTTCTCAGCTCATCATTTTTGTATCTAATCACCTTTCAGGATATAGTACAATAATCTGTATGTTTATGAATATGCTATGTACAGCTATCAGTTCTCTGCAGCAGTGTACAACGTTATGGGAAATAATATTGTGAAAATGATACAACAAAGCCAGGGCATGTCCTGGAGATTTCACTCCCCTGGAGCCATATCACATCTAAATCAGTGTACAGATTTTCAATAAATGGCACAGTTGGCTTGGTTTGATTTTGTTTAGCTGGTCTTTAGTTGTAATAGGAATCCAGAACATATATTTGATTCCCTTTCACCCAAAAATAAACTGTTGCTGAACATAACAGTAAGATTTCCACTGATATCCTATGTAACAGTAGAAGTACATTTCTGATATTGTCTTGAGCTAACATCTCTATCAAGAGAGATACTGGAACTTTCTTTAACTTAACTGACCAAAGCCCCTTATTACTTTCAATAGTATATATTTCCTAAATTCTGAAATACTTTCTAGAGTTGCAATTTAAAAGTCTTGTTCTACTTTTAAAATACTGTAAAAATGGCACTTTCATCCTCCCTAGAGCTATTGCTTGTGTGTAATAAATCATAACTATATACTTCTTACATGCTAAAGTATCACAGAGTCAATACATGTGTGGAAAATAGGATGGATTCTTATGCATATTGTGCATTCTTAATAACATTGTCTCCTAGATTCTCACTAGTTACACTTGTGCAGATGCAGGGAAGTCAGTGACAATGCACAGATACTCAAGAACATAGTTTGGCTTTATTACTGGGGAAGACTTGCAAGAAATAAAGTTACGTAGCTCAACTATCAGGCCTTGGGATGAGCCTGTTGTCCCAAGCAGGACTGAAAAACAAACGTGGAACCTCATGGTATTATTTTTAGAAACTCAATTTCCAGGCCTACTCTGTTTAAAGTGCTGTTACTGCTGAACAAGTTATCAATGTCTACATTAACTTTAATGAAAGTTTGGTGATTTTTTTCCCCAGCT